TGATCGCAGGAAATTTGCAATTTATGATGGATTTCACAAATAGAAAAAATAAACAGGAGATATCATTTATTATAGACGCATCAACATCAATAAAGGGAAGAAGAGAGAGTGGCAATAATCTGAATACTTGAGGTAAAACTTCCTCCTGGTATACTCAAGCATTTGAATCAAAATACTATCTTACACTAAGAAGTCACTAATTCAATTTTGATGATATTTCCTGAGAGACTGGGCTGATAGATCACTGTACACTACAGAAAATGTCTTTGCTTGGGAAACAACTATTAAAATGTTCTTACAATGAGCTGGGGATGTGGCTGAGTTGGTAAAGACCTTGCTGAGAACTCAGGAAGCCTGGGTTCCACTCCCAGCACTACATACATTGGGCATGGTAGGGCACACCTGCAATCCCAGCACTTGGAAGATAGAGGCAAGAGGATCAGACACTGAAGATCATCTTCAGCTAATTAATGAGTTCAAGGTCGGCCTGTGCTACTTGAGTCCCTGTCTCAAATAGAAACTAAATAGAGGCTAGAGAGATGGTTCAGTGGTAAAGAGCACTGGCTGCTCTTGCAGAGGATCCAAATCCAATCCCTGACTCCCACATACGCTGATTTACAACTATCTGTAACTTCAGTTCCAGGGCAACTGATATCCTCTTCTGGCCTCCCTGGGCACAAGTAAACACACACACACACACACACACACACACACACACGCACGTGCTCTAAATAAAATAAATATTTTAACAAATATACCACAGACCGGCTTTCTCCAGGGGACTTCCTTTGTGTTTTTTCATCCAGATCATTCTTGCTGAAGCAGCTGTCATGGGGTTATCCTTGTCAATGTTCTGTTCCTTCATGATTACCTGGTCTAAGTCAGATAGACTCTCATTGTCATTAACGGCTGGACACATTTGATTCATGAGTTTCTTTGGTTCCCTTTCATTGATTGCACAAAATTCTGTAACACAGTTTACAGCTCAATTTCTGTGTTTGAATGTACCCTGGGGGTCACATGGAAGCTGCTGCCTTGATAGGTTTTTGGAGTGCCATAGAAATTATATCTATTTGCATTTTTAAAAAATTATTTCTTTTTGTGTGTATGAGTGCCTGCCTGCCTCTAAGTGCCCCATGTGAATGGTCCATATATGTCCACACATACATGTACACACAGATGGGAAGAAGAAAGGAAGGAGGGAGGAAGGGAGGAAGCCAGGGAAGCCCTGAAGGAAGAAAGGGAGGGAGGGATGGAGTTGGGGGCAGACACAGGTTTGCAGGAATAGACACTTTTGCATTATTAGGGTTTATCCTGAAAATTGCCTGCAACCTAGAAGGCATCGCAACACTGTTTCTTTCCCCAGACTGCCTCGTTTGTTCTCGTTATTTACCAGCCCAACACTCAATACAGGGGCGGGGGTAACCACAAAAGTATGCAGAAAAGAAAACTAATAATTGCTACAAAGGCTTCCTCATCTTTCTTGAGTTTATGAATTTTGGCTCCATTATACAGAAGTTAGGATTTTTAACAATGAGAAGGGAACCCTTAATTGATTTTTTATTGCTTCAAGTGCTCCAAAGACATATTGTGTTTTGTCGTCATTTACATTTCATATTAAATTCAAAATATGTTCGAATTGAGCAAATATTTATTCTCATTTGATCCATCTGTTATATGAAATACTAAAAAGACAGTTAAATCACTATATTAAATTCAGTGGTTTGTAAACAATTTATATGTTCATTTGTTCTGGGTTAAAAATGCCCCGAAGCGCAAGTTTATGAAACCCACAAAGCAAATTGCCTCGTATTAATCTGATGGATGTAAGCCATGCTCTCCTCCTCCTCACTTCATTAATTTACTCCCTAACTTGAGTTAATTAGTGGGGCTCCTATTTTTAAAAAGTTCTTTGAAGCACACTGGGGAGGGGTGGCCGCATTTGCAAGTACCGCACTGAAAACCTACCACCGAGAAGACGGGCAAAATACAAATGGCACATTTCTCCAGCTCTTATCACACACTGAGTACCTGATTGTCTGTCAGGGACGTCTACGCTGGAAGCCAGTAGGTGATTAATACATAGCTGTTAGGAAGAATAAGGAGAAATCGGGAAGGGAAGGAAAGAAGAGCGAGGAGGAACTCATTTGCAGCAATTACTACTGTGAGAAATTATTTCCGAGAGGCTGTCCATCTCCAAATAAAAGTCTGGGGTATTCTGATCATATCCACCAAGTAGAGACTGATGCTCATCTGAACCCTTACTGGGAAATGAACTGGCATCTCCACAGGAATAAAACAAAATCAGAGACTGGTCAAACAGAGAGTAAAAGGTAGGGATATGGAGCCGGCTTAGTGGTTGAGAACACTTGCTGCCCTTCCAGAGGGCACAAGTTCAGTCCCCAGCACCCATGATGGGAGTTCCTAGCTGTCTGTATCAGCAGCTCCAGAGATCAGTGCCCTGTTCTGGTCTCCCCGGGTCTCTGCATGCACAAACACACATGCACACACACACATGTAAAGACAAGTTTGAGAAAATAAACTCTTTAAAACCACAGCTAACCATTTAAGATAAATCTAGGGGGATCTAAAAGGGGAGAAAGTTTCTCACCAAATGTTCAAGCAAGTAAATATGATTTTCCATTCCTCCTGGGATCTTTTGACCCATAGACAGTAGGTGACGAAGACTGTGTTGGCTTCCATGCCCTCGTCTTGTCCCAGTCACATTACCTTGCAGAGCATGAGCCTACCGTGTAGGTTGTTCCTTCCTGTCCTATGCCCCGTCTTACACCCTTTTCCTCTACTAGGACTGTAGAAGTCTGGGCCAGATCCTGATTTCCTAGCCATGAGGTGGGTCTTGTGGACGTTGTTTGCTTGTTTGTTGTTTTTAAATGGGTGTCCTATGTGCCAGGCTAGGCTGACTGAGGATATCTGTCAACTTTTGATCTCCCAGCTTCCACCTCAGTTCTAGGGTTACAGGTGTGCGCCCTCACTCCTGGTTTTATGCAGTGCTGGAGACTCCAGCAACAGAGCTACCTCCCAGTCCGTAAAGCCTCAGGTTCCTCCTCTATAAAATGGAAACACTATGGCATAGCATGGCTGTGGAAGAAAGGAAGGGCAGAGGAAAGGGCATTAGGATTAACAAGGGTAGGATAAAGTGAACACTGTGTGACTGACTCACAAAAGATCACAGTTCCAGGGGCCAGGGCCACACGGATTCTTTCTTTCTTTCTTTCTTTCTTTCTTTCTTTCTTTCTTTCTTTC